CACAGACACGACCGAAGCGTGTTTTACACGACGCGGACGCGGAGAGCTGGGCGGAACGAGGTGCCGATGAACGGGAAAACAGTACGAAGACAGCCGAGAGAGAAAGACAACGTCGCGCTTTATCTTAATCCTCGTAAATGGAGCATACCCTCTCGCGATCTCCTCTCGCCCGGCTCTTCGCGCACGGCTCCCGCGGCCGCGCCCGGTCGGCTGTCGTAATTTCGCCACTCGATATCGCTTCCCGCGGTTCTCTTCTGGGAAGGAATTCTAGGAGGCACAGAAACGGAACCATCTATTACGCATTTGATCTAAAGATGATCTTTGTAGTGAGATGGTCTTTGTGGTGGCGCAATCCTCGTATAGGCCAAACATCGTTGGCGAAACGCGCGAGAGACCGAGCGTCTCGCCGCCACTCCACGTCGATTCTTTCGACGCGGCGCGAAGTCCAAATATTAGAAGCAAACATCCTTCCGTCCGGCGACGAGGGCCGAATTTATTTACATGATGCTCGACCATTAAACGCCATCCACTTGTCTCGCGGCCGTGGACGGCGAGGCTTGGAGCAAGAGCGAGAATGAAGGGCGCGGCGGCGATGGCGGCGAGGCGACGGGGGCAGGAATTTTATTTCCGCTCGCATTAATTTCAACGACGCAGAAGACGCGGCCGCCATAAGGCGCGGCTTGAAATTACGAATATTATGACTTCAACCAGTTCTCAGAATTCTATGTTTTTCATTCTTTAATCTCGGTCCTCTCGTGTTTCACACCATATCTTATGAACACACTCGCCCTCTCTCTAACCCGTTCTCTCTCTATACTTCCTTTCTCGGCTTCTCAGTCCGGGAGCAAGGTAGAGTGCCACACGTGCGAAAGAGTGCAGAAGTAGTTCTACAGTAATCCTTATACAACGGAAAAGTATTAAAAAAATATAAGCTGCGCGAGAAGCCCGTGCTTTATCACTCTCTTGAGAGCTCGCGGGATGTTGACTTTTGCTAAGTAAAAGTTTTAATGGAAGACTTTTGAATAATTATTGAATATCGAAATAAAGTTCTAGAAATTTAAATGAGTAATAAGATCTTATCCTTTGGATAATTATAGCCAGGTTTTAGCAAAATTATAATTATTTAATCAACTTCATGTTATGTTTAATATAATATATCGATAATAATAGACCGGTTTCGATATTTGTCGTCGAGTTGCTGTATAACAATATGCAATTATATATCTCAGTGACGTTTCGAGTATTAGGTGACGTATCAATGCGACTACGCGACTCCGATATTTCGCGTCGTCGCTCGAGAAACACGTCCCGAGCACCTGGATCTAACACTCGTCGCAATGTATTTGGAGACGAGCGATTCGATATAAGTCGTGTTGGTATTATTCGGCGGCGAGCAGCGACTCGGTTTCCGGTCGTTCGTCTCAGCATGAGATAGACGATTAATATACATTTTAAGCCGTCAGTGGCGAATTTGAATAATCTCCTGGTATTCCGCAGCAGGCACTCCAGAAGCCGCGAGGCCCCTCCAGCCCGCCGCGCTGGGGCCTGGCAACGTTACGTTCGAGTGTTTGACGAACGAACGCGTTACGTCGCCGACTTTTTTGTTTCCTCCTTCTGGCATCGGCATCAGCGTCGAGCTATGTCGAGTGGTAGCCCGCTCTCACGCGGACCCCAGCCGCTGTCTCGTACAATTTTATCCCGTCTCAACCCGTCCCAGCTCATCTTATCCCATTCGATGCATCTTCTTCATATAGATTTAGATACGTAACTGATCGATCTTAAACCCTTTGTTTCCTAAATATATATACAAAATTAATCACTAGAATTAAACTAAAATTGCGTAGAATGTCTAATATTGCATTAAAATTTTTTATATTTTAACAATTTCGATTGTTTTCCTAACGCAAATGTGCTACAGATGTGCACAATTTGAAAGAAAGACACAAACTCTCTAAACCGCATCCACACACTACGGAACTGTAATGACTGTAAGTGTCTTAATTATCGTGAGGTGCCCGCATTCCATAGTTTCTTTTTCTTTGAGTCGATCGCTGGTTTAGATTCATGCACGAGCATCACCGATGCGTGACGCGTTCTCATTAGTAAGCGGTTTGCAAGCATTTCTGCAATTACGTGAAACACGGCTTCTCAATATGCATTATGCCAATCGCCGGGAGTTCACAAGGCAATTTGTCGAACGTTGTTTTGCAAGTTCGTAATTTAACAGGCGTTTAATAAGCGCGCTTCTCGCCACTATTCTTGCAACACTTTTTATTCCAATTTACTTACCGACGACCGCGCTCATCACGCTAAGGAAAGAAGACAGAATAGAATTCGAAGATTTCCTGGAATGGCGCGTCACCGTCTTTAGTCTCTTTCGGTCGACTTTTGGTAACTTCAGATCTGGTATCTCGAGTATTTAGGCCACGATTTAGGAATTTTAAAAATCCATCGAGACCATAGGCGATCTTCTTGCTGTACGCGAAGTCGAGCAGGGAACAATGGAATCGGGAGAACAAGGGACTTTCAGAGGGTGAAATTGTTTTTCGCCTGCCAGTTTTTATTTAAAATAAAATTTATTGATACTTCACAGGTTTTACTCGAATAAGACGGATTTCTCGTTTGAGCTGGGTCGGATTAGAATTCAATTCGCGACTCGTGACGGAAAGATCGTTACATTCCCCGACGAGAATGTTATGCAGAGACGAGAGGAGAGCGGTGATAAAAATTTTCGTTCACGGTCGATCGCGAACACTGCGATTCGACGATTTCGGTGCACGTATGCACATGTGTGCGTGCGTGAGTGCAGCTTGCACGTACAGAGAGGGTGATAATGTATTCAAGGTCCGCCCCGTGAGCTACATGGTGGGGTAAAACGGGGCGGCCCGCGCGCTATAGGTACTGTAACAGATGTTAATTATCCCTTCTGTATAGCTGGCGAAAAAAGGAGCTCGCTCGCGCTCCTTCCTCGCGGGCGCTCGGACATATCGTCCGATCGTACACGCTGCGCATCCCCGCTCGTCGACGGCCGGCAGCGCGTATATTCTCGCGGCTACGCCTAACGCGTTCGCGCCAATCGGAGGGCGCGCTCGACTTCGACCAACCCTACTTGCGATACTTGCGATTATTCGCACAGATCTTTCTGCTTAAATCTGTAGATCCGTCGATGAGCCGATATGCCGAGGCGCGAGGTGGAAAGTAACAATGGCTAGGAATACATTGCGATGGTATTCTGTTGCATGCTGGTAATTCGTGTGTACTTTTGTTCTATCGATGTTGAAACTAAAATGACGATTACAGAATAAGGAAAGAATGAAATAGAGAACGGTGTTATTATTTTCTACTTTTTTATAATTCGGAGATTCTGTTGAGAAGTTATACGTATTCGTGCAACGATAACGATTTATCAAGATTCAAAGTCCGTTTTGCGAACGGATACGTATGTCTTTCGAGATGATTTTCTCATTGACATTGCAGACAAGCGTCAGTCGACACGGTAGCAAACTCGGGGTAGCGGGTTGATCTTTCGAGGACCGGTTGGTTACCGGTCTGAATAGCGGTCTGTCGTGCGAGCAACGCGCAACACAATTTGCGCCTTGATCGAGGAGGCAATAGAAAGCCCTCGTACATCAACCGTGATCGGTACGACAGGTTGGAATTACGGCGCGTGTCGCCGATCCGCGGCGATTCGATGGCCCTGGGATGGTTTCTCTATTTAAAGGTTAATTATTTACGACTCGGCTCATTAGTCCGTCGTGATCGGCAATTATCATCGGAGCTGCAAGTTCGCGACGTGTCTTATCGCGTATGATCGCCAAGTTTAAATATCGTTAAGAATCCGCATGCAGGATGCATTTTAACGATTCGCGTTTAAATAAGAAATTCCGTCGTCAGGACACGCTGTTCCTTCCGCGTGAGCGACAACGATTAAACGCGACATTAATAAAAGACGAACCGCGCGATGAGCGAGCTATCCAATGGCTAATACTCATCTCGCGACGGGTTCCTGAAGGATGCGGTTCGACATCGCGCCGGGGTCAAACCCTCACGCCAAAAAAGGCAAACGGCCATACGTGTGCGACGTAGGCGATCGCGCAACGAACGGCAGCGGCGGCGGGTACGCCGGTAGAAGCGGGTAAGAAGTCATTTTCCGACGGATTGAAATTCCATTCCGCCGTTTCTCATTGCGCGAGAGCCAAACCCGAGAGCCGTAAGGCCATGAAATGACAGTTAGTGCGAGTATAACCCTTCTGAGATAAACCCTTTCGATTGGTCGGACGTTAATGTGCTTATCACGCCGCGCGCCGCCTGCGCTCCACGTCCTCTTTTATTGTTTCTTTCTCATTTCTCATTTTTTTTTTCGTTTCGTCGGCCGTCTCCTCTCCTGTCGCGCATTCGCTCTCTCTCTTTCTTTCTTTATCTCTCTCCTTCAGCGCGAGCGTACCGTTTGCCGCCGTGCGACACGACAGCATGTAATGGGCTTAAAGGTCTGCATTCCAATAACCGAGAAACGAATTGTCGTGCACTCGCACGTTATCGCGCCAGGCCGGTCGGTCGCTCGAAACTAGCAGCGCGAGACCAACACCAGCGCTCGTATATCACCGTAGCTTTTGTTACGGTGACGTGCCTTTGTTTTCGCCTCGTTTTCGCGATTCTCTTACATCGTTCCCTCCTTCCTTGAGCTCAGTACGGACTCAGAAACATCATCGGCGAGCGTATTATCGAGGAACAAACCGTGGACTTCATTCGAAACTAGGTTGATCACTGCACGCATCGCAGACGGAGATTATCTCGCAATGAATCGAAATCGATTCTTACCGAGGTAATTCCCTTTTGTTCAAAAGTATGATATCTACGCGTCCTGCGCATCAGAAAGCAGTACCACTCCTCGCAGGTCATTCTCACGTGTTCCGTTTCAGCGGAACACGCGGGAAGCAAATCCGCGCATCAGGCCGGTCGAAGTTCGAATTGAATATTAAGTATTTTGCGTTTTGTTCCAGGATGCGGTGAGGAGCCGGCTGGTTCGTGAGGTTCGAGATGTCCGCCGTAACCAGCCCGTATGGCCCCGGTAAGATACTTTCAGTCAGAGTTGATTATTAAATGTTAGAAATTTGTTCTACGCGAAATATATAATGATAATATTTAAAATTTACTACGAGACGTTTTAAAAAATTTTGTCAAAGCGTCAAACTTTTAGTGACTTTAATAATAGTTTAGATTGCAAAACTTACGAATGTATATGCTTATTTATAAAACGTTCGAGTCACAAGAGAGAATCTCTTACTATGTCATTATATTATTACAATCGACGATTCTCTCCGCATTCGCGCTAAGAAATCGTCCTACGTGAATCACAAAGCGATCGTTTCGGTACATCTAACAATAAGTGAAAGCAGCCAAGTGCCGCGTCACGGGTTCACGAATCGTTGCATTAATTTTATGAAACTATCGCGCATACGCCGCATCGCGGACGTTCTGAGAAGAAGCGTGTGCTTAGCATCCGAGTTCGCAGGATTGTAATTGACGCTAAAAGTTGATATCTATTAACTGCGATATGAGAAACGAGCGACGCGTTACGCGGCATCGCCTTGAAACGCCGCGCCGCGGCATTTGTTACGCGGAATTAGTGACTATTGTCGCCTCTACCTTCGCAATGTAAATACCGAGATACATTGCTCATCCAGATTGTCTTTATTCTCACTCGACATTCCTAAGTTATTTGAGAGACTGACGAGGATGTAAAAATGAGACGAAAAACAGCTTGAGATCGGTCTCGCTTCGTTCTTGCGCGCATGCCATTAGCGTCGGTTGAGAAATGGAACGATAGGATTATAGCGATTTATCCAAACAAGACAACGATCGAGTGAATTTCATCTTTCATCAGCGGAGATGCTTTCCGACTCGGTCTACAACTACGCGACGACCCGACGGGGCGCCACCGATCAGGACAGCGACTCCCAGTACGAGGCCCAGGCCCAGTTGCAGATCACCAGCAGCATCCAGAGCAAGCCGCGGAACAAGCGAAAAAATTTCAAGCCCATAAGCAGCCGGATGGCGGAGGTGTCCGACGAATCCGAGAGAGACGACGATGAACCGGAGGTCGTAGAGGAGAGTTCCAGCGAGATCCTCGAGTACGAGAGGAAAACGATGCTGCTGCCGGCCGACGAGAGATCGAAGCAAAGACTAAACAATAACGAGGCCAGTCCAATGGATCTCTCGGTTACCACTAGGCCGCCGTCCTCCGAAGCCGACGACGATAGCGCGGACTCTCTCAGGCATAAGTTTATCCTCGAGCAGCTAAGGTCGCAGAAGTTTTACTCCCCCGGTACAGAGGTAAGTTTTACGATCAACTGATTACTGATCTTTAATTTTTATTTCATTTACTTAACACGAGATGTTCTCGATTTGTTCCCGAATATCTACGGTATTCAGGCGAGGAGTCCAAACTCCGATTCATCGGAAAGAAGTGGGAGCGGCGTCCTGGATGCGGAATCGTCTCGCTTGGACGATCAGGACACCCAATTCGAAGATGAGCGGGGCAACGACGTCGACGGCGAAGTCGAGATCGAAGAGCGGAAGCCCTTCGAGGGCATCATGAGAGAGTACGCGGAATCGACAATGCAAGAACTTTTAGCGATCTACGGGTTGGCGGGAGGTGAATTGGCGAAATCGGTCAGCAGGCAACTGCCGCCCACTTTCCTCAACCCGAACGTTGGCCAGCTAGCTCAAGGTAAGTGATCTTCCAAAAAATTCGGCGATTTATGTTCAATCGAATAAATCAATAATCCGTAAAATTCCCTACCGGTAGGTACATATGGTAACGCGGTAATTTTTTTTTATCTTGTAACAATTATTTCAAGTACCATTGCCATTCTTGAAATTAAAATCAACGTTATGATTTTGAATGCCTATTAAAACCATTGTCGGCATTGTTACAATCGCCCGCATTGCCATTTGACGAAGTTGTTAGATGGATCAGAATACATAGATTGGCATCAAATTCAGGGTTGGCGTAAGATTAATCGTTGGCCGCAACTGGTCGACATTCGCGATCGAATTTGGCCGAGTATCAATTCCGTGCCTCACTTGCCGCAAGAGTTATCGATCGACGAAATTTCAACGCTGTCGTCGCGTTTTTTGATAGACCGAATTACGTTGAATTCGCCCCGAGGAAAGAACGAAATAGATTAATATTTACGACAAACGTAGGCGTTTCTTGTATGTAGGTATTTCTTGATGATTTGTCGGATTTGCTGATCGCCGTGCTGGTAGCCGCGATCATCGTTCGATACAACGTGAATTAGAGGCCTCTGCCGAGCAGTGGCGGTTACGTCAGCCGCGGCATCGCGATAAACGAATGCACTTCTCGCGATATGTGTGCTCGTGCGAGGATGGGGACTTGTATAGAGAGCCGGCGGCTTTCGGCCGGGACTGTACGTGCACCAGAACAGAATGTGGCACTTACATATTGCCGGTGCATCGCATATGTGCGCACGTGAATATGTGATGGCTCTCGCAAGATGGCCGACTTATAACTCATAAAGTCGGTCGGTCCCGACTGTGCGCTAAGCGTAAGCGTCGACCGCCCGACCCGCGATCGATGGATGCCTTCGAGATCAGCCAGCGTCATCGTTTCCCGTTGCGCGCGGCGACCAGCGTGGGTTGACGCTCTCGAGAATTCCCTGCGGTCCGGAATTCTCAAGTCGGTTTAACTCACGTGCTCTTTCCTCTCTCGGCACCTTCGACGCGAATTATTTGCTCTACGAAAATAATTTTCGACATGCGTATCCCGGAACCTTGATTGGAATATGAATGAAGGACGGAATGTTTACACACAGAATGCTGATAGACTTACAAATTAATTTATCTATCTTGATCCTGGGATTTTTTTTGCGACAGCTATAACAATGTATGAATATATGATTCTCAATGAATCCAACACACTCGTAGACATTTCCAAATAATCTTGATATGATATCTGATATTATTAAAGTAATATAAAATTTGTTACAATCTTATATGTAAGAACAAAGGTCGAAGTGAAGTTTTCATCCGTTCTCACTACCGCGTCTTCCAACTGATCGCCACCTACGTGCAGGTGACGAGGAACAAAAGCCGGAGCATTTTACGACATTATGTAATCATCGCGATTGATACAGAAAAAATCTCGTGTAATTTATCATATAAAAGAACTTAATGCGGTAACGTGTCATCTTAGCAATGACACGTTAGACAACGACAAAAAAGGGAAGGACGATACTTCTCAGATGAACGTCATTCGTCTCGCGAGTCTCGCCTTGACAATCTGACAAACTAATATGCTGCGTATTTGTTTCTGAAAATATTAAAAAATATACAATAATATCTCGTAAATATATTTAATGTCTGAGAACACCCCTGACATGATTATATGGATCGCGTTATTTCTTTTCTCCATACAAGTTAAAAGTTATGCTCGCGACCTATATATCCTACGTTTTTACACGAGATTTTTTGTTACGAGTCAACTGGATTAATCCTCTGCCATACTTTCCGTCCAGTTAATCGCTCCATTTCTTGGCGCCGCGATATTAATGCGATACACCGAGGGCACAGAAAAGGTGTATACCACTGTCATACAATCGCCGTGCTGAGTGAGCGGGGGAGCGATAATTTGGTGCGAAGAAAAGTAGAAAACTCGCCTAATGCGCGCGAGTGGAAGAGAGACGAATATACTTCGGAAGGATCGAAGGGTAGGGTCCGATGAAGGGTGCAGAGGGAGATACCGCGGTGCCTCCGTGAACCCATTAATCATTCTACCCGGATAAAAGGCAGTAAGGATGAAAAGAGAAGACGGACAGTCGGACGGACAACGGGCAGGCACGCAGCAGACGCTGGAAGAAGCGGATAGAAAGAAAGAGAGAAAGAGAAAAAGTCTTTCCTCTTTCTCCGTCCGCTTCCTCTCTCGCGAGCGTGAGCGCGAGCACGCAGGATCATTTTTTATTTTTGTCCTTTTCGAAATTCGTCGGACGCTTCGCCATTGTCAGGGCCCGCGGAGACTTTCGAGAGACAGGCCTCCTCTCCGGGGCCTCCAGGCGTCGTTCCGTCGCACGGGACCAGATTCATTAACTGATAGCACATGATTCCCCCGGCTCGATTACGTTTTTTAACGATATCCGTCCGCAGTGCCGAGTCGGAAGAATGATCATCGAATGCCACCCGTCGGGCGAGAAAATCCACTTCGTTCTCGAAATCGGCTTGGCTCGACCGATCGACAGGACTATTTCTTTCTCTCTATATACGTATAGATCGCCATCCAATTTAGCGAGGCTTTAAAAAGTAATCGACGTTATAGCGGATTATTATCTACTTGAGAGAGGATACACATGTGTGTCTGGCTAAGAAGAAAGAGAAAGAATTCTAGAGCCCGAAACTCTTCAGTTGTTTCTAAATCTCTATTGTACATGCTACAAATCTCTTAAAAAAAAAACTCTTTGACGAAAAGTTTCCGTTTCGAAAAGCGAACCTTTTTGTCATACTTCGTCGGGAAAAGAAACGACCGCTGCGAATCCTTCGTTAAGAGACGTCAGATTCAAAAAGCCAGCTAACTCGACTACTATTCAACGAATCTGTCGTATCTACTGGCCGGGTTTAATTCGAGACGTTGGTAGCGAGGAAAGGAACGGCGAATCGATGGTATTAAGGAGAGGGGATCGGCGGGGGGGAGTCTGGATCAGCCTGGTTACGAGCTTTTATGTCTCCGTACCTCACTCGGGCACGTATGAGTTAGGTACGATGGTCCCCGAGGACGAATCGTTGCGAGATCGAAATCGGAGCTTCCTCCTTGAAAGCGGACAAAGAGCCCCCTTCTTGGTTGACGAGAGGCGTTAAGGATCTCAGGTGGTCGGCCAGTCGTTGAATCGAGAATTGTGATGTTTCTCGATGAAATTTATGCAAGTGGAAAACGAAAAAATTGTAAGAAAAAGAAAATGGTACTAGAACTAAGAAAACAGGTTACGTTAGTTATCATCTTAAACTTTATTTTTATTCTTAGACTTTCTAAATGATTTACACCGCAGATATAATGTTTCTTACAATTTTCTATTTTATTAGATATTCACGATTATACGTGAAACACATATCTCGCACTCGGCCGAGAATATTTCTTGTCGCGAAAAGTAGAAGAAGAAGGTGTAGAGAAAGACCAACGAATCTTGCGAGACGTTGATCGTCGCTGAATTCCCTCGGTGCGACGAGATCGTGAAACGTTTTATGAAAGCTTTTATGAAAGGCTTTACGAGCCATGGACTGAACTGGGGCCCCGAGTTCGCTTCTGCTACACACGTGCTGTCACGGCGACGAGTCCCCCTGAAACCCCGCGGGGCCCTATTCTCATCCTCCACCTCTCTTTATCTTTCCCTCTTCGCGTGGCTTCGCAACGAGCCGCGCGCGTTTTCTCTATCGATCCTCGAAAGTGCCTCGTTTTTCATCATCATCATATCCGTCGTCGATACCTCGTCTCTCGCTCGATCGCGTCTTTCTCTCTTTTCTCCTTTTCCTTTTTTTTCCGCACTCTCGTTCTTCTCGGATATATTTCATGACTGGTATTTTCCTCGGCTAAAATTTTTTCGCGACATTAAAGGATAAAAGTTAGATTAACATTTCGCGAGAGCACTGGAATGCAGATATCATTTGCATAAGAAAACGAGCGACGGCCGCTTGAATTTTCGTCTTCTCCATTTATGGTCAATTTTCTTAAAGGCTCGCATTTTTCCACTACCATTCGTACAACTATTGTCGTAGTCCGCGTCGCGTTGATGTCCGCTTCCGGGTCAATTGGATCTCCTCAGCTTTTTTGTTCTCCAATTAAGTTCTGAGTCAGAGAGCAGTGGCAAGAGGGGGACGGTGAAATTCTATTGACGTTGGACTCGGTACAGTCCTTGCAGTAGCCTGCGTTCGCGACGATTCTATGTACTTCTCGAACCTCTTTTTTTATAACCATCGACACCATCGCGATTGGAATCGTTAACGAGCTTGTCTGCGTCATGAGTCGATTATTTGCGAAGATTCAGAATTTTTCTCCGCGATTATAAATTGACGTATCGATGAACTTTAACACGGAGGCATCGACGAGTAGGAAAGCATAGAACGGTAATCAAGTTAAACCGCCGATTATAAGAAGTTATTATTCACAAGGCTGGACGTTTTTGCGAAATCATCTCGGATCGTAAAATTGAGAATGTAAATTTGCAATTTTATATTCTTTTACGTAACTGACACCGATATCGAACAGAAAAGGATTAGATTTGGATATTGTACATCTACGAGATCCTTTCCCGTTCTCGTTCATTCTCCGCGAGCGTTCTCCTTACTCTTTTTCCTCTACTCCTTGCGGCATCTTGTTTATTTTGCCCGTCAGCTCGCTGACACTTGGACATTCGTTTAAATTTAGAATTCAATAGGTTCCTTTTACCGGCCGTACTTTCGTGCCTTAACGGATTCCCCGACTCGCCGAAGATTATTTGTTTAATTCCAGCTCTACGTCGATCTCTCGCCGTTTCCCGGTCCCGCGTTTGTCGTCCTCGTCCAACGACTGTCAACCCGGAACTCGCTTCTTCTTCTTCTTGTGCCATTACTGTTTAACGCGTAACTATCTCGAGTGCGTTCCTCTTTCTTTCTTATAGACACTCTGAATAAACCGACGACAAACACCGTACGACATTACGCTTTTCAACGGTATCTTAATTATCA